GAGCGAGACCAAAGGGAGAAATGTCCTACTGGATAAGATCAATGCATTGTTATTATAATGCTCATCGGATGTAGCCACAGTGAACCTTGATTCAGATTGACCGATACACATATATTATCAAGGTTGACTTGTGCTGATTCGCATTAAAAGTGCTACCCCGCCTTGACGATTGGTCGTGCAATGTGGAAGGCTTCATCCATGTGAGCAATTCCTCATTCGACGAGGGGCTTCGTCTGACTTGAGCTGAGAACCTTGTTTAGAATCTCGTTTTAACTATGCTCGTCAGTTGTGTCAGTAAGAAAATACTTTTGATTTCAACAAATGCGAAGATAATTTGCCTGTCAAGACGTCAAAGCTCCACCTTGGTGCTAGAAGTCGTTTGCGTAACCGTGTTGTCCATTTGAATTTTCAGTTCTGCCGATTGGCATGATGCAGCATCACCGGCCGGGCCAAGAGGTCGAGATATGGTTCGTGGCAGTGCATCATCAAGGTTTGTAAGCCTACAGGTTCAAACCCGAGCCTTGTTGATTAGTTCGCTGTGACCTAGAAGGAACAATGAACGCTGTTATGGACCGGGTTGGACCACTTGGTCATAGCGTGTGGTCTCACAACTGCAGCGGGTGAGGCTATGCATATTTTATGATACGAGTATTAAAAGCAGGGCTCCTCCAAACCTGCTTCGCATCCTACTCGCTCGCCATGGAACTTATCCACCAATTTCCATTTACTGACCTTCCAGTTGAGCTTGCCTTCATGATCCTCGAATATGCCGCGCGACCAGCCTTTGATCAGGCTGACCTATATGATGCTAGAAATCCATATTCATCTGCACTCACACTCTGTTATGTTTCAAAACTTGTCAGGCGCGTCGTGCTTCCCGAACTCCTGCATACCATATTGCTACCGGACTTTCCACACGTAGAAAAGTTCGTGCATGCTCTACGTATGCAGAAAACGTATGGGGAGAAAGAAAACGACCTCCATTTTGAGTACGCACCTCGTGTGCACAAGATCTGGATTGTATCTCATGGCGGGAGTTCCACGCCAGCTCATTTGTCCCACACACCCCGAGCTCATGCATTAAAACCTTCTCAACCTCCGCTCGACATTAGCCTCCTAGCTCCGATACTACTCGCTGCACCGTCCCTTGCCCTCGGCTGGACAAGTCTGGACCTTCTCATAGAATGCCTTGAACATGCATGGAAGTTTCGTGCAACCACAAATTTCAACAACGAACATTCCCTTCCTCCCTGGAACACACAAACTCTGACACTATCGTGTACGCCCCCCGCCACCGGCCCACGGTGGGAGCGTCTCACGAGCACTCCTCAGGGATCTGCTTTCCTTGGTTCAATATCTCATCTCTCGACCAACCCATACGTATGCGACTACAAGTCTCATACGACGAACATATGTGGAAACTACCGCCTGCCCCAGTGGATGGAGATGACTCCATGGGCTTCTTTCAAGAATCTTAAAACCGTCTTCCTGCCGTACCCGCGTATCGAACCTTCTGCTGATCCATTTGCGTTGATCTTCACGGGAATCGACTCATACGTGGAACTGCTGACGTTGTCTGCATCCCTGCTGAGGGATCGCTATGACTGCATCCCCAAGGAAATCAAAGGATTTGCAGAGATTGGTCCTGGAGAGGAGTGTATTCGATCAGAGGATATTCGTTTAAAGGTGTTTGATTCTCGCATATGCTGGTATGCTCGTGATGGGTGGGAAAAAGTTTGGGCATGCATGTTGTGAAGTTGGGTATACCTAGAAACATTAATATTATAATATGACTGATATAGTATAATTTTAATATGTCACTTGGCATGTACGCCTCTTGGCACCTAATTAATGTACATAGCGATTTGTGAACGAATCTACTCTGTAGCAACTCATGCACGTGGTTTAATCATGTTCGGGTTGAAGCAGAACTGCTTACTTTGTTCATCGTTTAAAAGTGTCATTACCAGCAGCCAGCTAATGGCCATGGGCCCGTCGGGTTCAGAAGACAGCCTCGAAAAGGACAAGGGCAGCGAAGGTGACGGGCGAGTGGAGTTTGGTGCGGTTGAGGGCGCTGATGAAACTTGACTTGGGAGCTGGGTGAGCACGGATGGCGGGCCCTATTCTGGGCAAGTGAAGAGATAGGTAATGAAGAATTTGAGTTGCAGGTTGAGGTTCAGGCGACACCTTTCGTGTAAACAAATTAGCGATGGCGAGTACCAGAAAGTTGAACGTTCGACCTGTTCACAGTCAACACTGCTGTTCCTGGAGGTATTGTTCTCGTCCGAGACTTCCGAAGTATTTCGGCTCAAGGCTCCGAGATTTGAAAATTTTGAAAATAGATGAGAAAAACATGTTGCACTTTAATTAATACAATAGATATAAGTGTGGTGTTGTTCTTATCCGATTCACCGTCCGCGGTGCGTTCAATAATACTTCGGTTGCGGCCTAGTAGTAGGGCCAAGGCTCGAGCCCTGGTAGGCCTTATAGGCCTCACCCATGACCAGCAGGCTTCATCGACGGCCAGCTATATCCGAAATGTCTAACACCGGTGGGAATTTCTACAGAGCTCTTGGCCAATGCGAGCTCGTGTTATCGACACAGATTCAGAGTCACGGACCACGTAAACATGCGATTCCTTAGGCCTTATCGCCCGCCGGTCAGTCATAGTCTCCCGTAGCTGCGGCAGACCAAATAGAAGGTATCTTCCTTTGTTTACAATGAGGTAAGTGGTAACTCAGCTTGAGAAAATTTTTATTCCTGACGGCGTTCTTAATCTCAACGTTAGCAACCTTTGGGACATTGCTGTCGTAGGTGAGCCCATTTCATATTCTGAATCTAAGCTGAATGGAGATAGTTACTTGGTCAGGTCCACTTCTGTTGAAGGCTCTGCAGAATTTTGAACATCCCAAATACTGTGGTTTACCATGCATCGGTCTTTGCTCATTGACGAGATTCTTTCTCACATCATTCAGTTCGTTGCTGCCGACGGTCAGCGGGACCTGAAGCGCTTGGAAGATACAAGCAGCCTTGCTAGGCTTGCTCGTACATGCCGCTGCTTTATGGAATGTGCTCTTGACACCCTCTGGCGCACTCAACATTCGTTAAGTCCTCTTATCATGTGCTTGCCAAAAGGGACTTGGGAGATTCGCTCCAGTAATATACTCGTACGTCCCATCTCGCTTCGTGCACGCAATTTCATAATTACAGTACCTATAGTATCTCACGAGACCGCCTGCTGAATCTGAGTGGGCACGATTTGACGTGTATTCACGTCGTGTGAAGAGTTTTTCATACCCAAAGCAAACGAGAATGATCAGACTACACGAGGACGCGCTTCCACTCCTTTTTTCTGAACGCCCTCCCCAGTCTCTGTTCCCGTCACTTTCCTCGCTCGACTTCTCCATCCTGTCATGCAGCTCTTCCAACTTCACCTTAATCCGAGACTTTCTCTCCCCAAAACTGACAAACCTCGCTTTCACTCTCCCTCGAAAGATGTGCCCTCAGGACATTTGCTGTGTATTAAAAGACCTTACTCGGAAGGCTACCCAACTCGAAAACCTCGCAATTTCATCGTTCTTTCCAGTGGTGACATTTGAATTGAATATTTCGACCCATGAACTGCCAGACTTACGTCGGTTGGTCGTCTCCAACTCTATTCGTATATCTGCACAGAGCGTGCTGAATATCGCGTCACTTTGTCATGTTCAAGAGCTTGCCTTGAATCTTCACCCTGATTTCGACGCCGACGTGCTACGCTATAGGGCAAATAAGAGGACCTTCCCCGCTCTCCAGCGTCTCAGCCTCGTGGCACACGACCTTTCCCAGTGTACATCTATCGTGTCGCTTATATCCTCGCCACAACTGGAAGATGTTTCTGTCTCATACGACGTCCAAGCACGATCTTCCGTCATTACTTCATTCCTGAGTGCCATCGGCACGTCGGTTCGATCAATTTCTCTCCGACACAACACGCAAACTCATACAATTGCCGACGCCCCATTTATTTTCGACCCTTCCACATTTGCACCGCTGCTCGCTTGTCGCAATCTCCGCACTATCCAAGTATACAATCTTGGTACGCTTAATTTAGACGATGAGTTCATCGTTTCAGTGGCTAAAGCCTGGAACAAACTCGAGGACATTCGGCTCTGCAGCCTACCTTGGTCCTCCATAATCCCCAATATCAGTTTGAACGCCTTGACAGCGTTGACCCAATACTGCCCACGGCTTACCCGCGTACACCTGTCCTTGAACGCAAGGGAAATCCCTGAACTACCCACCAACAGGGCTGGTGCCCAGTCCTTGGAGGTGCTCAATATCCGAGATTCGGTCATCGACCACACTGAACTTGTCGCGCAATTTTTGCGGGCGATTATACCGAATATGAGGACTTTGTATGTTGAAGCGCACCCAGAACTAAGGGATAAATGGATGGAAGTCAAGGCCTACTATGACCGGCTGTCAGTGGTACCTATGCAGAATGGGTCATAAACAGTCGCCCATAGAACTAGTCACGGATTATTTTGGTATAGAGCTCGTTCGTATCATTTAGATTTGTGTGTTATTTGTAACTTAACTTAGGTGGAGTAAAGTAATACATAGATTTGTCGACTTCCCCCGAGGTTTGTCACTTCGCACTGAACGCTCTCCTAGTGGCTTCGTCGACGCACCTCGCGTCCTAATTAAAGTTATACACAGGAAGAAAACTAAAACCAGCACCACGTGTCTTTGGAGACTCTAGAAGATCTACAATGATACTAGCACACACCCGTTGTGCCTTCGGCACAGGAAGCAAAAAGAGCGCTTTGCGCTCTTTGTTGGCTTCCTGGCCTTCGGCTTCATCCTACCTTGGGTGTCTTAATAATCACTGCAGGTTTTGAAATAATTTATATTTTATTCACTGAGTTGTGATCAAAATTTCAAAATAAGTTACATACATTGAGCAGGATTCAAATTGACAAAAGTAAAAGTACAATTGAATATATGTATTTTCTCATCTACTGTTGTGTCTGGTGTTCTGTGCCCCATCCTCCCGTCCTCCCGTCCTGTTGTCCTCCTCCCGTCCTGTTGTCCTCCTCCCGTCCTGTTGTCCTCCTCCCGTCCTGTTGTCCTCCTCCCGTCCTGTTGTCCTCCTCCCGTCCTGTTGTCCTCCTCCCGTCCTGTTGTCCTCCTCCCGTCCTGTTGTCCTCCTCCCGTCCTGTTGTCCTCCTCCCGTCCTGTTGTCCTCCTCCCGTCCTGTTGTCCTCCTCCCGTCCTGTTGTCCTCCTCCCTTCCTGTTGTCCTCCTCCCGTCCTCTTGTCCTCCTCCTGTCCTCCTGTCCTCCTCCTGTCCTCTTGTCCTCCTCCTGTCCTCTTGTCCTCCTCCCCTTCCCCCTTCTCCCATTTCCCCATTCTCCTGTTCTCCTGTTTTTCCCATTCTTCTATTTTCCCTTTCTCCTGTTTTCCTGTTCTCTGTTCTCTTATTCTCCTATTTTCCCCATTTTCTCTGTTCTCCCATTTCCCTCATTCTCCCATTGTCCTTTCCCATTTCTCAATCGTCTTTTCTTAATATGTAGTTGAATTTATTGTGTATTTCAGAATAAATAAATGTTTTTAAATGCTTGCTGCCCTAACGGGCAGCGGACCCTCGAAAGCACGTGACAGCCACGCGAGTTTCCAAATCGAGCTTTAAGCGAGGTAAGCGAAAACCACATGGCATTTAGCGTCCGTTAGCGGCCCAAGCGACCCAAGCGAAAACCACGCG